CTAGTTGTGTGCTAGGGACGTGAACACGGACGACACGTTCATCATATTGCTCCCCTACTTTGGTCCTGAATACAAGATAACCCCTAATGTCATTGTCATTGTCAACAAAGACCTCACATATCTGATACTCCAAATTTTTTATGTGTTCTTCCTACAAACATGTGAAAATGCTTAGTGTAAAGATATCTGACGCCTTTCTTCCAAGCAGGCTGCGGTATATAGGGATGGCAACTTTGCCCATACCCATGGGTTTCTTACTATCCAACCCAATTGGGTTGGGTATGAAATCCAAATAGATGGATATGGGTAGAGTTTGATGGGTTTGTACCATGGTAAAGGAAACCGTACCGGAAGTCATACCGGCTCCGCCAGTGGTAGGGTATTTTGTGGTACTACCGTGGTTCAATCGTTGTGTACCGGCAAAATACCGTTTTTGTAAATAAATAATATTTTTTTGTGAAAAAACCGTACCGGCAGATTTGTGATACCGTCTCGGAATAATACCGGAATAAAACAGGAATATACCGGATAACAAACCTGAATAAACTAAATAAGCATATGTAATATAAAATTCAACAAACTGCAACATTACTGAATTAACTACATAATCGTTCAAATGCATGTTTACGATCGAGTACAAACGACATTCTTAAACCACAAGTTCAAACAACATTCTCAAACCAAACAACATTCTCAAACCACAAGTTCACAACTACCACAAACACAAACTAGCAAACACTACAATGTTCACAAACAACGTTTCATATTGTCAAACAACACCAAATGTAGATAAGTCAACATTCTCCAAGTCGTCCCCTTCATCTTCTTCATCACCAACTACAATACAAGAGAAAACAAGTAAGAATTATTATCAATTATTAGTATTAGAATTCATATCATACATAATTGATTTACAAACAAACCTTCCTCTTCTAATGCTCGATCCAGCTCATCAATATCCAATTCATTTTCCCTAGAAGATGAACCTTCTTCCCCTTCTGACAACCAGTGACTAGTAACAGTAGAATCAATGCTTTCAAGGCTTATGGGATCATATGATTCTTTTTTGTTCTTGGTATAATACTCCCTAATAAAAGTAGAAAACATAAAATAATTCAATTCAATAGTAAGCATAGAAAGTATGAATTGAACACACAAGTTATATAATTCAAATCCTTACCTATTCTGCAATCGCAAGTTGTAATTCACAAACACCAAGTTACTAAGCACTTTATGCTGCAATCTGTTTCTTCTTTTGGTATGCACACGTTCAAAGACACTCCAATTACGTTCACAACCAGAAGAAGCAGCAGTTTGGCTAAGAATTCGAATAGCCAACTTCTGAATATTTGGAGCATCAATGCCAAACCATTTCCACCACTTATCTACATATAAAACATAGATGTTAGTTTCTTAAATATTGTAATAAATAGAAGAACTTCAATGTAAGTGATATTAATTACCTGGTTGTTGTTTCTGTGCAGAATCTATTGCCATCTTCCTCCCAAAGTTTCCTTCCTTTTCAGCATACAAATTCATCTCCGCCACCACCACACTATTATCAGGACATAAAGACGAGTTCTCAAGAAGATTAAGAAGTCCAAATGTCACCCACCTATCCTCTGTCCAATCTTCAGCATACTTCATAGCCGGATTAAGATAGTGAGCTGCCATAAACAAATCACGGCTCAAGTGCTTATCCCATCTCCTATTAACGATATCCATGTATGGTTTGTACATCTCCTCCTTATCTCCACAAACAGTCTTAATAGCATTTGACACCCTAGTCATCCCATCACACACATACCCCATTGCTGGTTTACTATCTGAATCCACAACTCGAAGCAACTTAACAATCGGAGCTGTCAACTTAACAATGAAGTCACAATCAGCCCAAAACTGTTGATCTAGTACAATTTCCTTCACATCCTTTCCATCCTTAGTACTTGAAAGATCACTTTCTCTAAAGAACTCAATAATCACCAGTTCCTCCAAATCATGCATGTGCTCAAAAGTACTCTGCAAACTCAGAAATGTAGTAGCAAATCTAGTAGCACCAGGTCTCACTATTTCTTTCCAATTCTCCTTTGTCTTCAACCAGAAATAAATTGGACCATGATTGTGTAAACAAATTTGGAGACCTTGGTAGCTCGATAGGCAAGCTTCTTAACATGAGGAATAGATCCAATGTCACTCAAGATCAAGTTAAGGGTATGAGCAACACAAGGAGTCCAATATATATGACCATAATGCTCATGTATCATTGTCCCTGCCAATTTATAGTTGGATGCATTATCGGTCACCACATGAACAACATTTTCTGCTCCAACCCAATCAATGACCTCAGAAAATAACTTAAACAAGTTCCTTCCACTCTTGACCAAACCAGAAGCATCAATGGACTTCACAAAGCATGTTCCAGCAGGAGAATACACAAGAAAATTGATTAAGGATCTACGCCTATTATCCGTCCAACCATCCGCCATAATAGTGCATCCAGATTCCTTCCAATGAGACCTCAAACTCTCAATCAATAGGTGACATTCACTCACAATGCTATCCAACAAAGTAAACCTCAAAGCATAATATGTAGGACCGCCATAACCAGGACCAAGAGTCATAGAAGTATCCAATGCTATTTTAAATTGTGGAGATTTAATTGCTTCTAAAGGAACACATGCATCATAGAACCATCTAGCCCATGCTCGATCCACATACAATACAGCTTCTTTAGTTGCTAATGCACTCTTTATTCCCGGTTGACTACCGGAAGATGACCGTGGAGCAAAGAAAGTGTCAACCGAGCCCGTAGACAAATTAGGAGCAACTCTTTTAGCACTATTATCATCTTGTGCACTAGAAGAATTTGTATCACGAGGTTCTTTAAATCCAGCTTTGACAACTTCAGATTTCTTTTTACTAGTGTCATAAGACTTCAATAGCTTCTGCATGTTTTCGCTCACCTCTTCCGGAACACTTGAGCATATTGCATTATCCCCACTAACACCAGCTAGATGTTTTTTCATTCTAGTGATTCCTCCACCTCTAAATTCTTTTTGACAATAGAGACAAGTGAGTACCTCCACTTTTCCATCCTGATGCAAGGAACAATGATCCCAAGTTGGATCACTTTTGCTTCGTACACCCTTTGCGGTAACCTTCGGATTACTAGCAGTTGCTCCTTTATCAACCGATCCGGCTTCTTTTCCACTAGCCATAGCTGTCAAAACAGTCAAAATTCTCATTAGAATAAAGGGTTAGAAGAACCAATATTAGTTAGAGAACCAATAAATGAAGCAGATCATGGAAATAGTGTTATGAACATTATGTCGATTTGAACCATTATGATCTGAAAATTTTTAGGTTCTCTGACCTCCTTAGAATTACTTCTCACTCATTGCATGAATGATCCCTCCCGTATGACCTAAAGTTGATTAACTCATGACGATGCAGGAGCATTGCAAAAAGGCAATTGTTTGCTTTGAAATCGGTTCCTTAATAAGGGAAAAAGGTTTCTCCACTCTCCCACAACTACGAGTACCATACAAACATGTGTCCCTTTACAATTCCTCTCTTCCTACTCATCTTGTCAATTATAGAGCTATACTCAAACCATGATTAGTGTTCAGAAGGAAACCAAAGTAGAAGAAACCAGCCAATGAGACGCGATGAATGATGACTCCAATTTCTTGCATGATGATGGGTCTCTTCCATAATGGTATTTTCTTTTGGAGGAGGGCCTTTAAGGTTAAGTAGTTGTTTATTCTCCTAAGTACCTGCTGCCGCCGTGTTCTTCTTGAGCAGGGGAGGGACTAGGGAGACGCGGCGGAGAAGAGTGGCAGAGCAGCGGCGGAGTAGCGGCGGAGCAGAGGAGGTTTCTTCTTGAGGCGTGCCCTGGTAGCCGGTCGTTTTCTTCTTGAGCCGGTGCCGGAGACGATCGCCGGTCGTCGAGCAGAGGAGGGAGGCCGCCGGTCGTCGAGCAGAGGAGGGAGGGTCGCCTTCTCGTCCTCGAAAAGAAGAGGAATCGCAGCGGCAACAAATGAAGCGAAGCGATGATTAGGGTTTTGGTTTTAGGCTTCGGCCGATTAATTTTTTTTTTTTCCTTCCCTTAATGCAAAACGACGCCGTTTCCACTATATCAGCTCACCCCCGGTTAGACCAAAACCGGGCGGTTTTTTTAGTTGAGCCGGTTGTGCCGGTAAAACCGACCGAAACGGCTCTTTCCCCACAGCCCGTCTGTCGTACCGGTCAGGCACCGAAATCCGGTTTTACCGGTTTGACCGGCCGGTCCGATCCGGTTTAATTTACTATGGTTTGTACCCATACCCATTTACTTTGGGTTGAGTTGGGTTTATATCAAATGGATTTGGGTTTGTACCCATGCCCAAATACAAATTACAGTTTGGTACCCAAACTTAATAGACATGCATATTTAGTACCTAAATTTAATTTTTTTGCATATAAGTCCTCAAAATATCGATGGAAAATTACGTTTTGGTACCTAAATTTTTTTGGTCTTACATTTTTTGTACCTAAACTTTTCAAGTTTTGCAAATAGGTCAAATTTTTGCATGTGTAGTTAAAACACCCTCAAGTAAATGGATATCCATATCCAACCCATACCCATTTAGATTATGGAAGCCCCAAACCCAAACCCATCTATAAACCCCCAAATCCATATGCACTTCACCCATACCCAACCCATTATCAATGGGTCTACTTGGGTTTGGGTATAATTACCCATGGGTGGGTAATTTGCCATCCCTAGCGGTATAGGACTAAGAATCTTCTGCCATTTATGCCTCTGTAATCTTGCTCGACCTCCTCTGCCCTTCTCAACATCAACATGCTACAGGGCAAGAGACAAATATATCAACTAGTATTCACTGAAATTTTGGGTGTAAAGCCTTTATAAAGTATGTACCTGTTGAACTGGGTGAAAAAGACATCAAAGTTGATGTCCCCAAGAAGGAAAGACTTCACAGATGCATTTGCACGCCTCACTGGCCTGCGTGCTGCGTAGTTGTCATCCCAGCTGTGAAATTCCTTTTTAACCATTCCGAACACCACTTCTCGCGAAGTTTTAAAAATCGACTCAACCAATAGGTCCCACTTTTAACATCCACACCGGGGAAGCATTCCTCGATCATAGGAACCCATGCTATGTCAAACTCTTCTACGGTATCGACATGATAGAACAGGTACATCATGTGATCCTTAAATTCCTGGGTGCGGGAAATTGAGCCAATATGTTCCTCAGCATTTAATCTCAAGTGCCAGGTGCACAACACATGATATGTAGAAGAGAACTTGGACTTTATGGCAGCAGCGATGGCAACATCTTGATCAGTGAACAAGGTTGTTGGCTCCTTGCCCTTCATGCAATCCAAGAAGTTCGAAAACAACCACTGAAAGGAGATAATCATCTCATCGTACATCAGACATGCTCCGAAAATCATCACTTGTTGATGGTGATTGAGCCCGACAAAGAGAGCTGACATTATAAGTAAAAGATAACAAAGCAAGGTTGCTTGCTTCTTTTAGATTAAGATAAAAAACGCATTACCAAATGCATTTCTAACAGGCGCCATCAGATTAAAAATAAATACGTTAAAGTGTATATCTAAGGGATGGTATTCGCTGTTTGTTCTGAAGGTCGTATCAAATGAGACAGAATCACCAAATAGTTCGTAATCCAACTGCATCGTTTGGTCTGCCCAGAAAATGTTCGCAATCTGCTCGCATGAATCAACCTCCACATTGTAGAAGAATGATGGGTCCTTCTTTTCTTCTTTCCAGAAGTATTCTTTGAGAAATCTCCGTTCACCATGCCCCATATCCCTCTGCCTTCTCCTACAAAGGTGGTTCTTTTGATCATTTCTTGTGAAACCAACTTTTGTGGGCCCTCCACCAGTTTGGACCATAACCTCGTATGAGGATCTGAGCTTCACTCCAACATCTGCATTGTCTTCGATCACTTTTGCTTGAGCAGCAAAAATCTTTCAGTTGCTGATCAACAGGTGCCTGTGATCCTTGGCGTGGAATTCATGGTTGTGGTGGCCATCAAATTCACAAATATAGAATACATTGAGGTCATAATCCCAACTGAATTTCACATGTGCTTCACAGCCCAATCTTAGTTCATTGCGCCGCCTCTCCGGAATGGGAATTGTACATTTGGGACTCGGGGGGTCTATCAGACCTCTTGGGATTGTTTGGGCTACGTCTGCTAAAGCCTTCCTTGCTGCAGCAGAAGTGAAGATGGTAGTAGAACTTGTGGGATTCACCATTCGCATTACTCAAGCGCTTCCACTTCTGTTTTTCTCGGTCAGAAAATCCCTTGAAGTGAGCATAACTCCTGTACAACCAATGACACTGGTCAGGAGTACGAGGCTTGATACAATGGCGTTGATCATCAATATCTACCAATGGTATCCAAGTCTCTGCAACGAAATAATTGTCTCATCAGCAAGGTAAATACATTCCCCTTCAGCGTAAATAATATTTACCAAGGCTGGAAATGGTATGTCAATAAAAAGCAACAACATTCATTAATACAACACAAACCCAACAGCACATTCACACCTGTTGTACTTAATAAATGCAGAGGTATCTTGAAGGCGATGGCAGGGAATCTTTGGCCTTATGTAATAGTATGAAGTCACGATAACCATTTATTTGTGAAACCATGATCAAAACTCCATCAGTCATAAAAAAGAGAAAGCTGGTAGTTTCACCTCCTTAGGATTTTTGGGATGTGATGTGGGATGGGACGAAGTTATGACTTGAGCTGAACTTGCCTGGAAAATTGGACAGGTTGATATTGTAGACTTCGTGATGATGGTAATTTATACTGTTGCTCCATTGTATTGTCCACTCTCAACCATTGCTTAACAAAAACTCATTTTGCTTCATCGTGCAGCTCTAGATTGCCTTAGTCCTACTTATTCAGTAATTGATGGAAGATATGTTTGCTTAGTAATTGGCAGCTGAGCTCATTGTATGTAGCCTGTCTGGTCTTAGTGGAGTAATTGTGTAAGTCCTGTTATAAGCAGGGGGGCTCCTTTTCTGGGGTCGATATATAGAAATAGAGGTGGTTATTTTTTTCGGGCTTTGGAAAACTTGCCATAACGGGTTACGTGCATGAGCATGTGTAGGGGCTTTTGGGTATTTTACTCTTCTTAGCTCCTACGTCAACCCTAGGTTATTGATGTTAGGGTTGAGTATATATATTGTTGTTCTTGGCTGCCGCTGCTTATTAAGCAACGTGAATAAAAGAAAGACCGAGAAGGAGTTTTCCTTCTCCGTGGATTAGTCTCGTTCACACTAAACGAGGATACCACATAAATCGTTTGTGTCGTTTTATCTTTCTTTCATTGCTTAGATTTTTCATGGTATCAGAGCGGGTCAATTGACGATCCGATTTCTCAATGAGCACAGGCGGTGCCGACGATAGTAAGATGCTGACGAGCAGCGGCGGTTCGGGCGGTGCGATCCCTCCAACCATTCCGCCTGGGTTGCGCATACTGCCGTCAGACAATCCTGGGCAACTTTTCGTAGGAGAGCTGCTGAGCGACTCCAATTATGGGGAGTGGGTTACCAATATGTCCGAGGCCCTCATCGTGAAGAACAAGATGGGGATGGTCGACGGTACCATCGTCAAACCGATCAATGAAGAGTTGTTGGGAGCTTGGCTTCAGTGTGATGCCCTAGTAAAGGGCTGGCTTAAAACGGGAATGGAAAAGGAGGTCAGAAACTCGATTCGCTATGCCAAAACGGCACGTGAGATCTGGGTTGACTTGGAAACCCGTTTTGGGCAGGTCACCGCACCAAGGGCCTATGAACTCCGGCAGACGATGAGCTTGCTTCATCAAGAGAAACTTACTGTTTCAAACTTCTACACAAAGCTACGTGGAATATGGGAGGAGATGCAAACAATTACTCCTATCCCTAAGTGCACCTGTGGCTTGTGCACGTGCGACGTCGAACGGCGGGTCAGAAACAATTATGAGAGTGATCGCATGTTCGATTTTCTGATGGGACTGGACGAGGCTTTCTCGACAGTAAAAACACAGATTCTCTCGATGAAACCTACTCCAAGTCTCGCGGAAGCCTATCGCCTAATAGCTACAGAGGAACAGCACAAAAACATCACCGCTAATCGTCGCCCAGCAGTGGAAGCGGCTGCCTTCCAAGTGCGACAGGACAAAGAGGATCGCGAAGTAGGGCGACGTGAAGAGAAGGCGGGACGCGGAGAGAAGCCGCGGTGCAGCCATTGTGGTAAGAATGGACACGTGAAAGAGAGCTGTTTTGAAATCATTGGATGGCCCGAAAATTGGCCTGAAAGGAAACCCCGTCAAAATGACAAGGGAGCTCGCAAAGGCCAGCGGCGGGAAGGTTCCAGGGCGGCAAACACGTCCACTTCAGCTGGGATTTCAATTCCTGGCCTGTCTAATGAACAAGTGCAGCGGCTGGTTAAGTTTTTGGGGCAAGCAAATGGCCCGGTCACTTCTGGAACGCCATCCGACTCCTCGGCAAATATGGCAGGTAAGCCTGTCTCAGCTACTGAATGGGTAATTGATTCTGGTTGTAATGAATATATCACTAATAACCCGAGTTTGTTGGAGAATTCGGAGAATGTTGCAGGTTATTTGCCCGTTAAGATTCCCAATGGGGATAGCATTCCCGTCACAAAAATTGGTGATGTTAGGTTGTCTAGTGGAATGAAGCTCAGCCATGTTTTGAGCATACCCCTTTTCAAGTGTAATCTTCTGTCGGTGAGCAGGCTGACACGGGATTTTGATGTTGCCTTGATATTCTTACATGACTTTTGCGTCATCCAGGACTTACGCTCCAGGAGGATGATTGGTAGTGGGAAGCTGCGAGACGGTTTGTACTACCTCCGGTTGTTTGGTGCCACTAAGTCAAGGGCGCTGGCAATATCCATGGGTCGATTGAAGATGGATGAAGTTTGGCACTCACGATTGGGGCACCCGTCCGAAGGGAAGGTCAAGTTTCTGTTCGAGTCTATCAAGAATAAGGGCACGGTTGGGTTTTGTGATTCCTGTATTCGTGCCAAGCAAACTCGTTTACCTTTTCCTAGAAGTACCATCAGGAGTACTCGTTGTTTTCAGATGATTCATGTGGATACCTTTTCCTAGAAGTACCATCAGGAGTACTCGTTGTTTTCAGATGATTCATGTGGATATTTGGGGGAGTTTTAAAACCCCTACACATAGTGGAGCTCAGTTTTTCTTGACTATTGTCGATGATTTCAGTCGAGCTACATGGGTTTATTTGATGCGTTATAAATCTGAAGTAGAAAGATATCTGCAGATGTTCATTAATATGGCTCAGAATCAGTTTCAGCAACAGGTTACTTGTGTTCAAGCAGATAATGGGATGGAGTTTCAGACTGCTCATCTGCGATCATTTTATGAGGAGCGTGGGATCACTCTGCAGACGTCTTGTACGGACACCCCCCCAACAAAATGGGGTCGTCGAGCGGAAGCATAGACACCTCCTTGAGACAGCTCGCGCGCTTATGTTTCGCACTAATTTACCCTTGAAGTTCTGGGGAGAGTCGGTATTAACTGCAACCTACTTAATCACCCGCCTCCCTTCGAAGGTTCTCGATAATCGGACACCGTATGAGGTTTTGTTGGGGCACGCACCTTGCTATGATCATCTACGAGTCTTCGGATGCTTGGCCTATGGGAAAGATAATCACAAAGGGCTGTCGAAATTTGTCGAGAGAGGGCGTCCATCACTGTTTGTTGGCTACCCTGCAACGAAAAAGGGGTATCGGCTGTGGGATTTAGATGCTGGCCGCTTCTACGTCAGTCGAGATGTCACATTTGTGGAGGATGTATTCCCTTGTCATGCACCTTCTCGTGCACCTTCTCCGGCCACTTTAGCTCAGGACATCACTTGTCCCATTGATTCCCCCGATGAGCACCTTCCCATTGCCACAAATGAGACCGAAGATTGGGATGATGATGGGCAAGTATCCACTGGCTCGGATGCTCCCTCTGCCGCAGATTTTGATGCTGCCCCAGTGGACCCGGTTCCGCTCTCCTCCTCGGATCAGCCACTTGAGGCGTCATCTTCGGCCCTTCCTCGACGGAGCCTCCGCCAGCGCACGGTACCGAAACACTTGAAAGTTTATGACACTGCACTGCCTCCCTCTAATTTACCTCACCCTATTGAGAATCATGTGAACTACCATGCCGTCTCAAATTCGCATCGCAGTTTCTTAGCGGCAGTTTCCAGTGTACCTGAGCCTAATTATTTCCACCAAGCCTGTAACACCCTACCCTATACGTTTTGCCTAATCATATTGTTCATACAATTGCAGCGGAATTAATCTCGGGTGTTACATTAATTATCAAAATTTACCTAAATAAAATTTCGACATGAATTACTCGCGTAATGGGCTAACAGTTCTTGCAACTTAACCTGCAACATAATTCATCACAAACATATATACTCACAACCATAT